ACTGGCAAAATTATGCTGCTGATTTTCATAATTTGCTTTCTTCTCACACCTATAACATGATACTAAGGCTGAAACATGACCACATATTTTTCTAGCAGCTGGTATATCACATGAACAAGAATTAGAGCTGCACGAATGGTCCTTCCTTCTTGAAATTCGTATGTTTTATTTATAGTTATTCCATCCCAAAGAGATTTCAATTCATCAACAATCGATGCTAAATAATGATTTATTTTGTGCAAACTTACTTCACTTGGCCTAGGTAAGAGGCCAAGAATCAGTAGGTTTTCACGTTTGAATCAGATATCACGTGGCAAATTGCATATAACAGCATAAATAATACCAATACTATATACAGTATCTTCATAAGGCTGGAACCAATCCAAGTTTAATATTAATCCAAGGTAAGAATCAGCCACTTCATCTCTAAAAAATTTGCGAATTTTCTTCAGAAGATTCTTTCAATGTCTGTCATACTTGACCATTATATATATCAGTCCTAATATTATCATAATGCTGACGATTTGCCCATTATCTCAAACAACTTTCAAAACAAGGCTGATGATACATCAAAGCGAGTTGTTGTCTGATTTCAGAAAATGGAAATATTAAATTAGGTCAAATTACTACTCAATTTGCCGAAATACCAATGGTTCGAGATATAGTTGTATTGCAAAGTTGTGATTTACAGAGTGACGAATTAGGAAATTTTACATGTCAGCACTTCATTATAGCAAGTGAATCTTTTTGTCTAAAATTTATCACTTCCTGTTTTTTATACAGCTTATGACATTTTGGACAAGAAACGAAGCTATAAAAATGATCTTTTAATCCAAGTTTTTTTCTTGTTAAGTATATTGAATCTGAAAAGTCTATAAAATTATCTTCACTGATTTTTGTCAAGACTAATTTCATAAATTTTATCAAAGCCTTAGTTGCTGTCTCCTTTATATTAAATCTTATCCGAAATGTCATAATCCAGAGCAAAATCCATAAAATTTGACTTGAGCGTTGTTCGCGTTATCCAAGCAGGCGACGAAATTAGCAAAGAGTTAAAAAAAAGTAAATACATTTTCTTTCCCATAAATAATTCCGAGCCTTGTTGTTAGTTCACTTTTTCTATTTAGCAGGCTTCCTGGGTTTTCGTATTGTTCAGATATCTCTAACCTTCGGTTATCAATTATTGATCCTAGATCTGGTAAGTCCTGAAATGGCTCATAATCAGGTGGTGCATAATTCTCAAATGTTTCATAATCTTCATCATCATCTGATTCTTCATCATCCGATTCATTTCTATTACTACTACTACCTGAAATATTGTCTTCTTCAGTGGTATATTCAGAAGATTCAGAAGGCTCATCAACACTTTGTTCAGAATTGTCATCAGGAGGATTTATGTTAGGTTTTGGTCGATTTTTGTACCTATTTACACGTCTTCGAGATACAAATGTAGAATCAGAATCCTCCTGATATTCATCATCTTCTGATTTATGTTCAATAATTCGTCTAGCTGAAGTTGATGTTGTTAAAGACTCTCCCGTTTCTTCCTGAATTTTGAGTTGATAAAATGCATCTGAAATTGAGCTTTGTGAATATTGATATCTTGTTATTATATTACACAATGATGATGTTCTAGAAGTAGAAGATATTTCTTTATCAATTAAACTAGTAATCGATCTATTTCTTCTATAAGAAGCCATAGTAGAAGATTGACTTGAGTTATTTTCTTCATCATCAAGTATGCTAACGATTGACCTTTTTCTGCTCATTTTGATAAATTTTTGAAAGAGAAAAAAAAAGAGAAAAAAATTCAAAATAGAGCAATTTATAAGAATAATCTTCATATTTGTATGGTTTTATATTCTTAATATTATTTTACAGTATAAGGACGATTTACATATTGTTTGTTGCATGTATTATCTATCAAATAATACTTTATTTAAAGTTTCCGATTTAATTATATTAAAAGTTTATTTAAGCTTATTTATTTCCGATTTATAAATGAATTACAAATTCGGGTAAGAAATTAAAATTTTATCACGTTAGATAAAAATTTTGCTTAAAGATGTTTTTTTGGTAAAAAAAATAAAAGAAAGAAATAAAAGAAATATTATTAAATTCAACCACAACTAGCTAAAATTTCAACTAAAAACTGAATTTTATCTTATATGAATAATATTGAAAGAATATTTTGTCAAAAAAAACTAATTTTCAAGTAGAATTTAAGTTGATTTTTGAGAAACAGAAAGTCGAACGAACAATATTGCAAGAATATTTTATTGTAAATCGTAAATATATATATAATAAGTAAGACTAGTTGTATGAATAATATCACAAGGATATTTTCGTCAAAAAAAAACTAATTTTAAGTCGAATGAGTCAGAATTTAGGTTAATTTGAGAAACTGGAAGTTGAATGAGCAATATCGCAAGAATATTTTATCGACAAGGTATAATGAGTAAGACTAGTTGTATGAATAATATCGCAAGAATATTTTTGTCAAAAAAAAAACTAATTTTAAGTCGAATGAGTCAGAATTTAGGTTAATTTGAGAAACTGGAAGTCGAATGAGCAATATTGCAAGAATATTTTACCGACAAGGTATAATGAGTAAGACTAGTTGTATGAATAATATCGCAAGAATATTTTTGTCAAAAAAAAACTAATTTTAAGTCGAATGAGTCAGAATTTAGGTTGATTTGAGAAACTAGAAATTGAATGAGCAATATCGCAAGAATATTTTATCATAAAGGTATATCAAAATTGAATGAGTAAGGATTAGTTGATTTGAGATATATAAAAATACTAATTTTTCAATCGACTTCTTTAGAAAGTAGCAATTCCTTAAACATCTTATTATTTTCCTTAAACATTTTCTTATTTTCAAAAAAAAAATCACTTGTTTTTTTTTTTTTAAAAAAAATAATTATTTAATATTTTCTTACATAATAATTTCTTGCATACATGTATAATTTATTAATTAATTATACAAATTTAATTTTCGTATTTACCAAATCTCTATTAATCAACTTTTACCTTTTCTAAAATAGTATAAAAAGAAAAGAACCAAGTAAACAACCAAAGAAACAAGCACAACAAGCATAACAATTAAAATAAATGAAACGTAAATCTGATAAAAAGCCGAAAGTCCCAGAACGTAAGTTGATTATATCATATTATATACATTTGATACTTATTTAAATTTTTAAATTATAGATCAAGTAAATATTAATAAATTGTGAAAATGATATGAAAACATTTGGCTCTTATCAAAATTCCAACGTGAATCAACAGCGACTCCTTCATATATAGGCGCCATTGGGGGTTCTGGTGCAGATTTCAAAATAGTCCTCCAAACCCCGCCTACGAATCAAATTTGCTATATGATTTCCATTATCCAATTCAAACCTCTAGCGCCTTTTAACTCCATTATAGATGATGATATCGAATTTGACTAGAAATTAGCCTGTCTGATACCAGGAAGTATACTGTTTGATATAGCCATTCTAGCCTATTTTTAAACCCAAATAATATATCAAAAAAATTTTACTATTCTATTTGCCTAAGGAGGGCCCATC